ATTCAACAGATAATTCTGTCTTTTCTGCTATTGGTCTTCAAGAAAAATGTAAGACTATTACTTATGTTTCTTCTGCTTGATTTGTTTATTCCGACATCACAAATCATATGACTGACACATATGATTTATTACATAATCAACGCCCGTATACTGGTACTTAACATATTCAGGTTGCTGATGGAAATAATATTTCAATTACACAGTTAGTGATATTAGCCCCTCCCTCTGACATGTTTTGGTTTCTCCTAAATTATCTACGAACATACTTTCTGTTGGTCAAGCGGTGGATAATAACCGTGATGTACATTTTTCTCGTGATCGTTGTGTTGTGTATGATCAGATGTTGAGGAAGGTGATAGCGAAGGGGCCTAAGGTGGACATATTATTTCAATTACTTCCTCGAACTTTGTCATTAGCTTATTCAGTTGTTGAAAAAAGGCTGCTGTCTGACATAGACAATTAGCTCATCGAAATAATGTTATTTTGAATCATTTGTTGTAAAGTGATTTTCTTGGTTATACAGATAAAATTTTATTAGCTGACAGTTCTTGTAAATTGGGCAAAGTAAGACATTGACTTTTCCTGACATCATGCATAGTGATGTTTGGTGAATTATACCAATTATTTCAAATGCTCAGTATAAATATTTTGCCACATATATTGACAATTATAGTCGATTGACATGGATCTATTTTTTGCATTTGAAAGCAGAAGTATTTACCGTGTTTCAAATCTTTGTGATATATATTGAAACTCAGTTTTTCACTTGTATTAAAATTATACGGTCTGACAATTGCGATGAATATATGTCTCATGAGTTTTAAGCATTTGTTCATAACAAGAGTATTATCTCACAACGTCATTTGTTGAATATGGTGCGCATATTGCTGTTAGAATCTTCTGTTCCAACTAAGTTTTTGACAAGAACTTTATCTACTGCAGTTTATCTGATTAATCATTTACCATCTCAACAATTGAAGGTTGATTCTCCCTACTATCAAATTTATGGTAAACATCCTAACTATCATATGCTGCATACTTTTGGATGTATTTGTTTTGTTCGTTTACCTGTCCATGAACGTCAGAAGTTGCAACCCAGTCTGTTTGATGTGTCTTTATGGGTTACAACATAATTGTTTTGTGTGTTATGATTCGATTAATAATTGATGACGTATCTCTCAGGATCTGATTTTCTTTAAACATGAATATTATTTTCAACATCATCTTTCGACATCTGACACTGTCATACTTCCTCACTTTGATGATTCTTCTTTTGATAAATAATTCAAGCCTGGTCTTGTCTACACACAACACCTGGCCCCTTTATCTCCAGTTTTTCTCGACCCTGCTCTTGAAAATGCTCCAATGATTCTTCGACGATCAACTCGGCTCATTTGTCCTTCGAAAAGATATGACTATTATGTAATTTTAACTAATACTATAGTTCCAACATCTTATTCTCAGGCTACTAAATAAACTTGTTGGATAAAAACCATGCAAGAGGAACTTCAGGTGCTTCAAGAAAATCACACTTGTGATATTGCTTCATATCCTGCAGGTGTTAAACCCAATGGATGTAAATGAGTCTATTCTCTTAAGATCCAATCTAATGGCTCCCTTGACAGATATAAGGCTAGATTCGTAGCTCTTGGCAATCGACATAAATATGTGATTGATTTTGAAGAGACCTTTGCACCTGTGGCTAAGATGACAATTATCAGTTTTGTTCTATTTATTGCTGCATCTAAAAACTGGTCCTTACGACAGATGGATGTTAAGATTGCATTTTTGCATGGGGACCTCAAGAAAGATATCTATATGACTCCTCCAGGCTTGTTTTCTACACCCTCACATAGTGTTTATAAGCTCAAACGATCTATATACGGTTTGAAACAGGCTCCACGGACTTGGTTTGAAAAGTTTCGCAATACTCATCTCAACTTTTATTTTATTCAAAGTCAGTATGATTCTTCATTATTTTTTTGCAAGACTGACAAGAGAATTGTTGTTATTAGTCAATGTTGATGATATTGTCATCACAGGATCTGATACTCAATTGATGTCTCAGTTACAGAAGCGTCTTCAGGGTTTTTTTCATATGAAGAATTTAGGGTCTTTAACTTATTTCTTAGATCTTGAGGTTCACTTTTCTCCCGCTGGTATTTTTCTTCACCAGCATAATTACACTAAGTAACTCATTGCTTTGGCTAGACTCCAAGAGGGTCGTCTTGTTAATACTCCTTTGGTAAAAATCAACGGAATGATGTGACTTTCTATCTGATCCATCTTTGTATGGACAACTTGTTGGAAGTCTCAATTATCTAACCAACACACGTCCTGATATTTTATTTACCGTGCAACAAGAAATTCAATTAATGAAGACACCTACACATCTTCATTTAGCTGCAGTTTGACGTATTGTTAGGTATTTGAAATGTATTTTTCATCGTGTCTTGTTTTTTTCTGCAGAGCCTCCTATTCGCTTAACAACCTATAGTAATATTGATTGTGTTGGTTTTTCTGATACACGTCGGTTGACTGGTGTATGTTTCTCGGCAACTTTTTAATTTCTTGGAAGAATAAGAACCAAGATCGAGTGTCTAAGTTATCTATCGAGTTTGAATATCGTGTTATGTTCTCTGCTTGTTCTAAGATCATTTGGCTTTGGGGTTTGTTGGCTGAGCTTGGTTTTTCTTAACTTGAGTCTATTTCTCTTTATGCAGATAATACTAGTGCTATCCAGATTAAAGCTAATTCTGTCTTTCATGAGCGCACGAAATACATTGAAGTACATTGAAGTGGAGTGTCCATTGAAGTGGAGTGTCATTCTATTCGAGAAGCCTATGATAATGATGTTATTTCTCTTCCTTATATCTCTTCTGATCTTCAAACTGTTGATATATTTACTAAGAATCTTTCTCGGCAGCATCATCAGTTCCTTGTTGACAAATTGATGCTTCTTGATCAGACAACGTCAATTTGAATTTGGGCAAAGTTAAGACTTTCCTTCTTTAAATTGCTGCATTAAATTCCTTACTTTAATTGTACATACTCTTTCTTTTTAGCCGAATATATAGATTAGCAATATGTATTAGTAAGTTATTTAAAATAGATTGTACAAAATATTATTTATTGGAATGAAAGCAAAGGAAAAATGCATTTAGTCTATTTACTCAAAAGTTTGACACGTCGCAGAGGATCACCTTGGGGAGTAGATTAGCATTGGTGAAGATGAGTGGTGGATGAGTGTTGCGCTTGGGAATAATGGCAGCTGCGTGTAGGTTGCCTGTTCGAAGCTATTTTTGGCTGGCGTGTTTGGAGAGTTCTCTAACTCCTCCCTAGATAGTTGGAACAAATCCAACAATTTGAATGGCATTTTCCCTTACAGGTTCACACGAGATCTCTTCAACCAGAGCCTTCTCGTGTCTCTGTGTTGTCGTTCTGGGCGCCACAAACTCCTTGAGTTTCTCTGCTCTGATTAACTCGACCAGATTCCAGAGGTGTCGACATTCCTTCTTGTCATGGCCATGGTCGCGGTGGTATGCACAATACTTCTTAGGGTCTTGGAGGAATGCTTCAACCCTCATGGGGGGTGTTTTCTTGAAGTATTCTTTCTTTTGGATGACCTCTACTAGTTTTGCCATTGACACCCTCAAGGGTGTGGTCCTTGGTGCCTTGTATTCGTTCTCAGACGGTTGTTGGTTGGTGTACCTCTGCTGACCACTACAATGGCAGTTTCAGTTCATCCCTTTATTCTCTTTGGTCACCGATTGTCCTCACACCCGGAATGGATAGGTGGACGCTGATCCTCTTTAGGTCTCCATTTATTGTTCCGCCGTATTCTCTTCCGCGAACGAAGCTCAGATGATTCTTGTTTATGGTAGAGGTTGATGACATTTTCTTCGACAGTAATGCGTTTATTGGCTATCTCCAGCAATTCGGCAAGGTTCTTCGGCTCCATCAAGCCGAGGACATATTAGAATATCTCTCCTCTCAGCCCTTGAATGAAGGCAGCATGCACCGCTTCGGTCTCTAGGTCTCACACTTGCAACATCTTCTGGAACCGTATGATATATGCGCACTGACTCTTATGTTGCCTCTACTTGATCTGTCATTGGGCTTGCGAACTTCTCCGCGTCTTCTGCGTGCTAGCAAGTTAAGCCACAAACAACCTTTTGAAATTACCAAAGGATGTGGTTACCCCAGCGAGTAACCCGTTGAATCACCTGAGAGTTGTTTCCCTCAGCATGGTAAAGAAAAGGCGCCATTAATCTTCAACGAATAGACCAACGATTCAAAGGACGAGATATGATCGATCAGATCAGACTGATCCTTGTAGGAGTCGAGTGAAGGGGCCTTAAATTTCTCAAGGGGTTATACATTGGATTATATGGGAGGGCCTGGTTAGACATTGGATTATATGGGCTCACGTTGATGTGACTTTTGACTTCTGGTGGGCTATCTTTGACCATGTTTGTTTTACGGGCCATAATATTTCTTTGACATTTGTGCTAACGTATTATGAGTGTACATTATTTAATTAGCTTAGCAAATTATTTATTAGTTATTGGGGTAGGTGTTTAGTTATACTAAGTTTGAGTTAATTAGTCTAATTAAAGTTGGTATAAGTAAATAAACATTATAATCATTTAATTTTTTAAAATCCTGAAAAAAGAAAAAAACAAATAGTTACATTAACTTAATTGTATTTTTCGCCTATCATGCCAAACACTTTTCATGGTTCAATCCTTATAGAATTTAGTATATTCAGATTTATAGGATTTACCAAGTCCCGCTTGCCAAATAGCCATTAAGAAAGCCGTAGGATTTATGTGGCTAGAAAAATGTAAATTTATGTGAATTAAATAACTATTTGGCAAGATTTAGACAATATTTAGCTAAGACTTGCAATCAAACAATCACTCTATTTCCAGCCTTTAGTTTGTTACTTCACTAAATTTTTATGTGTTTGATATGTTGGCTTTTTTTCCATTTTGTAGATTTGCAAGAGAGCTTTCGTGCTTATGAGGATGAGACCAATAAATTTCAAATTTTTGTTCCTGAAGGTAAGCCCTAAGCTGTTAAATAAAATATGGAGTAGTTGTGCCTACTGGTATAGAAAATCTTGTGTGCCATATATTATTTTGTCAAAACTTCAATTTATAATGTGATGATGTAGTCATTAATAATTATGCGCTTTACATTGATCTATTCTAATCTATACCTCGTTATAGACTGCGATAACTGCGATGGATTTGCTAATTTTACCACCAACTTGTAAAATTAATATATTATAATTAATATATTATTTTGTAAATTTGTTGTAAATTTTTATAAATTTACAGTAAATTTGGGAGGAAGATAGGAGCTAATTTTGAAGATAAAGTTCAGATTAGGGGATCTACTAAAGTACACCAAATTTGGAAGCTTTATTTGCATCACCTGCGGTTTTTCAATCTTTAAACTAGATTATATTTGCACTTCAAGCAGCCTTTGATCTTAAAACTTTTGAACTTCTGCTTTTTAGAGAAGCTAAATGAACTTGCTTAGGCAACTTAATGAAATTTCTATTGCTCTTTCTATTCACCTTGATGAATGTCTCCTCAAATAAGTAAATTCACTGGTGGTGCTAAGTTTTTGCCTCATGATTCGATTCACTATGGATTAATTGCCAAATATGTTATTTTTTATCTTGTTTTCCAACCTTTGTTGAGAGGAGCGATTTTATTTTTTGTTGCCGACCTTGAAAACCTGCCACAACTTTCAATTCACCCTAGCGCGGTAAGCATTTTTTAGCTGCAAGAGAAAAAAATGAACTTTTAACAGTATGTAAACTTGCTTTTTGTTCATGTTTTATTTTTGTGTGATCCTTCGTTTTGAGTGTCATGCTTGAAAGAATAAATTGGCTTATTTAATGAAAGATTTAATCTTTTCAATTCATTGGTTTAATTTTTTTTTTTAAATTGATTTAACCTCAAGTGATTTGACTTTAAATGAATTGTTTGAGTTCTGGCGTGTTTTTGTTTCAAAATTCTATGTTGTGTGGTTTTGTAGATATCCAGTTTTGAATTTTGTGCATTCAGCTTTCCATAAACCTTCAATAAATGGGTTATTGATCTATAATTTGAATATTTAAATTATTTTACTTTCATTTGCTCTAAAGTGACTTTTTTTTATCCTTCGGCTACTATGCTATTTTGAAAGCTTTATTTAGTTGTGCAGAGAACTTTGCCAATGCAGATTGGCTATTGACATCACTTGTGAAGGAGTATAGTTACAAGTTTCTACATTGAGAATTTAAGTTCAATGATGGGTAGACCTAGGAAGACTTGGGCTTATTGTATAAAAAATGATCTTAATTTTCTAGAAGTAACTGAAAATGTGACACTGAAGTGGACGCAATGGAGAAAAAGTATTCATGTAGCTGACCCCACGTAGTGGGATTAAGGCTTTGTTGTTGTTGTTATTGTTGTTGATGGGTTCATATTTCAATTGCTTCAATGCATGAGTTCCCAAACTTGGTCAAGCTTGATGAGCTTTGTTTTTATTGCAACTAGTTTTTGCTCGGCTTGTGACTTTTCTAGTATGCATGTTAATGGCACACGCCATGGCACACAACCATGCACCCTCTGTCATTTGCAGGGTGCATCACATACACCACCATGTCATGCACTATTTGCATCATATATGGGCCATGGTGTATTGCACATTGCCTGGATAACACACGTTAAATTGATTTTTAAGATTTAATATTAAAAAATAAAGGAAGATTTACATATATATAATACTGTTTTTATGTATTTAAACTTTAATATTTATAATACTAAAAATTTTGAACATCATAAAAATTCCAATATTACTATTTTCATTTAAATTGAAATGTATATTTTCATATACATGTTGTGATGTGATTATGATATAAAATGCTATATATACAAATGTTAAACTATAGGGATTGAATGTATAAATTCCTAAGAATTATGTGGTATTCCACTATATATATGTATGGCATACATCGGTCCAAACCGAAAACAAGATAGCTAAAAATCCCCTTGCGCAATCGAACGACAGGCTGTTATGCTTTTTAATTGCTTGCGAGCTCCACTTACATGATATAGATAATGAAGAAGTTACACTTAAGAAGGTTACAATAATGTTGATGAAAGACGTAAGGCTTTTTTGATTTATAATGATGATGATAATAATTTTTTGAATGACTAATTTATTGTCGAATACAATTATTGAACTTGATAAAAACTAAAATATTTTGAAATTTAAGTAATTAAGGTGCCGATTACTTAAATTTAAGTATTTTTTGTTATTTGTATTATCATAATATTTTACCTTTTTATTTAATAGTCTTTTATATTTATCTATATTTTTGTTCATAAATTTTTTAATATTTTGTGTTATAATTCAAATGGTACATTGTGTCATGGGCTACACGCTATGGCTTCACGTAAACTTGTGTTATGGTGCATCCTTGTCATTGAAAAGTATATCTCTTATCAAAGGAGCCTGAGATGTTGGACTAGTACTATATTATGTTGATGTAAGTGATGAATTCTTTTGAGTGTTCCTTTACTATCATTATTTTGATGTAGAATAATGCTTGCATATTTTATATTTTTATGAATTATATATTTTATTTTGTAGAATATTGCATTGTCATTTATTGAGAATTGTTGTTATTGAGATGAATATATGGTTTAATATAGTGAATGAATGCCAAATTATTAAATATAAGCTAAATTTCTTTTCATAACGAGACATTACCACCTCACCTTGTCATAATATCTTGATGATCAAACAAGCTTATTTGGACGGCTATTCAAGTGGTTGTTATAGATTGGAGGTGAAGTTAGAGAGTTTGGTGGCCAACCTTGGTTTTTCTTGTGCTCATATAATTATGCAATCATGGTTTTCACTCGCCATCGCTGATGCTGGAGCTTCCACACCCCGTGATTGAAACAACTTGCTAGACTGACCCCATCCCATATTTCTCATGCATAGCGGGGGTTTTCTTGCAAATTGGGTTGTCGCCAGGCTGTGAGCCCTTATCTAATATTATTTTATGTAGTATTACTGTTAATTTATTTTGGGATTATATATTAAGTTTGTTTTAGATTTGACGGACAAACTACTAATTTGTTTTGTGTAATTTGGAGATTGTAATATCTAATTTCTACCCTAAGGAATGCTATATCATCATCTTTTTACAAATAGTGTGTCTATAGCTTGTTCAGGAATAGTTGATGAACTTCTTTACCATTCGTACATTGTCGTTTCATATTTCCCTATAACTATTTTTAGTCAAGACAACCACCGAACGATGCCTATTCTTGTCAAATGTTGTCGAACTCGTGTATTATCTTTCCCCCGTTGTTCCACAACCACATTCCCACTAGTTCCACTTTCTAAACACATTATAAGAGCTTTAGAACAGTGTTATATGGTATTTGAGCATGAAAAATTTTAATTTTTAGTGATTTGCCATTCCTATGCTTAAACCTAAAATCCACAACTTAATTATTCTACCAACTCAATATCTTAACATTCTTATTGTAATTTCTAGTCACCCTAAATTTTTAAAAGCTCATATACCTATCTTCACAAAAAATTCACGTCGATATTTACCACCAAAATCCTAAATCTCGACTTATCTTTGATCTATGATGTACACCTACCAAAACTTTGATCACAAGAAAATGACATGAAGCGGCCTAAGAGAAATTTGCAAAGAGGTGTCCACAAACTTATTATGGAAAATATGTAGTGGAAAATTTTGTAACTGCAACGGAGGAATACTTCAACGAGGATTACAACGTTTGAGAGAAGACAACCTGGAGAGATCATCAAAAACCACAATAGTTAGGGGTGTTAAATCGAGTTCGCGGGTTAGCTCGGTCTAACCCAAAATTGACTCGATCTAGAATTGTTTGATTTGAATATGTTTTAAATATTAAATGGGTCATAAAGTTCAACCTGAACCCAACCCGCCTTTAACCCACGACTAAAACCGACCCATATAACCTGTTTAACATAAGATATAATAGCTATTCAGGTCAAATTTGGGTTGATATTGAATTAATCTCGAGTCAATTTCAAGTTGATAGGCTAATTTTAAGTCACTTTCAGGTTTACGTGTTGTTTTTGGGTCAATTTTGAGTTGGCGGGTCAACTCAAACCCGACTTAAGAAAATAAACAAGTTAGGATTCCTATCTCGAAGATGACTCAAAAATTATTTGGGTCAAATCGAACCCATATATTTTGAGTGGATTTAGGTTAAGTTGGTGAGTGGGTCAATTTTTGACACCTTTAATAATGGTGTTCACCGGATTAAAATGAGGAAGTGAATCCCTTGACATGAAATATTAGAGGAGAAGCTGAGATTTTGGAGTAAAGGGTGGATTTATTAATTTTTGACAGTTGCATAGATCCAAATGTGTTCATTGAATCTCTCCAACCAATGAACGTGTTTTTGAATACAAGGACATTCCACCTGACATGAATCAAGTTAGATTTAATTAAACTGAAAAAGAGTTCATCGCTATGGTGGAAAAATTTGAAGTGCTTATGCTAATATGAGGGAAAAAATAAGTTTACTATATGGTCTAATATAAAAGGAGAGATATAGTGCAAGTATCTACTAGTATATTACAGACAAGACATTCTTGAGATTTTATCACTTATAGTATAAAGATCTCGTTAGATTATACTCTTGTGTTTGAGAAGCTTATGATTGAGTGAATTAATAGAACCTAGGAGAATATCATAGCCCAATATTTGGGGGGATTGAGACTATTCATTGACAACTCCATATAATTACAACCCTATTGGACATTATAAGATGTCTAGAATTCAGTCCTAATATTAAAAGAGAACACGATAATATCAGGTCCACACCACTCTTCGAATAGATTTAGCCATCTGAACAGGCAACAAGGGTGCGCCTCTCAGAGCACCTAAGTCGATCTCACACTAAGGAAAAACCAATCCAAAGTCGAGAAAAGGAGAATACTACAAGTATTCTAGTTGAAATGCTTCAGGTTTGGGTACATTGCGTTTGATTGCCCAAACAGGAGAATAATTTTCTTCACCGAGTATGAAAAAAATGAAGAATTGAGCAGTGATATATGACTGAGAGGAGTATCAACTTTCGGTCAACGTGAGGGAGAGAGTTACTAGTGATTTGATGGGTCATTTAGACTGAGCCTATGGGAGAAGCACCAACAGAGTTAACATTGGGTGTCCTAGATGACAGTGAGTCCAAGGTGCAGGTACCAGAAATAGAATAGCTCTTGCTGAGAGAGTTGTTAGATGTTTTGATTGAAGGACCTCTTTGGTTGTGGCCACAGAGAGGGATCCATTATGCCATATATTTCATTCTAGGATTGTTATACGTGTTTATCAGATGCGAACATCCATGTATGGGGATTGGGAGAAGCAGGTTACGTAATAATAACTAAGGTTTTGTTCATAAAAATACTCACCTTTGTTCAGTTCCAGCTTCGGTTGTGCCAAAGAAAGATGATTTTTTTTTTCAATCAGAACAAACTTTTGAATGACATGTGTTTCAGAGTTTCTTGGGATGGATATGAGCATAGATTTTATAGTGAAGTTGTCTTAGACATAACAAGAATGAATTTGTTATGGTGGTAGTAGATTGAGTCAATAAGCTTCTAAAGAAGAAGAAAACCTCTCCCATCTGAGGAGAGTTATTCGGGAGCTCCCACATCCAGTGATACGTGATACTACAACTGCAGGATCAAAGCGGTTTGCCAGATCATCTTCATTCCTTATCTCTCTTGCATTTTATGATTTTTTCGACCCATCAAGTTGTTGCTAGGCTGTGGGCCCCTATCTAATGTTATATTAAATAATATTAAGAGTTGGAGAACCAGGTTGCAGACTAATAGCTTGAGCTTGGTTCATGAAATGCTCACCTTTGTGTAGTTTCTGTTTTGGTTGTGCCAAAGAAAGATTATTTTTTCTATCAGAGCATACTCTAGAATGACGTGTGGTTTAAAGTTTTTTGGGATGTATATGAGCATAGATTTTATAGTTGAGTTATCTTAGACACAACAAGAATGACTTTGTTATGGTGGTGGTAGATTGAGCCAATAAGCTTTCAGAGAAGAAAAAACCTCTCTTACCTTGGGAGAGCTATTCGAGGGCTCCCTCATCCAGCAAAACGTGATGCTAAGATCGCAGAATCAAAGCGGTTCGTGGGACCATCTCAGCCCCTTATCTCTCCTACATTGATTTTTCCCTCCCATCAAGTTGTTGCTAGGTTGTGGGCCCCTTTCAAATATTATATTAAGTAATATTTGAGTTAATTTATTTTGGGATTATATATTGAGTTTGTTTTCGACTAGTTGGGCATACTTTTGTTTTGTTTGTGTAAATTGGATATTGAAATTTTTTATTTCTATCCTAAGAAATGTTGTATCGTCTTCCTTTTACAA